CTTTGCAGAATAAAAGTATACATTTCTTTAAACACATCTTAATGACCCTAATAGATAATCATAATTTTGGTGGGTGAGATGAACTCAGCCTTTTCCTGACAGCACCTGCAGTATCAATGTCAGAGTAACCTTACTGATGTAAAGTGTAGAGCACCAGCACTGAAAGATGCTTCCTCACCCAGATGACTCCATTAATAACATCCATCAGCAATTTTTAATGCATCCATTACAAGAATGGCATCTCACAGAAAGCATTATAAACTTTACACTGACACAGCATGCAGTATATTCACAATATAGTCGACTATGCAATGATACCATATTAAAGTGGTATTTTTGTATTTGTGTGTGTGTGTGTGTGTGTGTGTGTGTATATATATATATATATATATATATATATATATATACACTTTACACATAGGCTTCTATCTTTTAGGTTGTGTATTTTTTTTTTTGGCAATTAAAAGGAAATATGATCTTAGTCGCCCCACTGTTTAGAGAGTCATTAGTAGAGAGTGATCATTACCTTCATCATTCAACTTTTCATCACTGTAATACTGTAAGACCCCTTATCCATTTCTCCCTCCTTCTATTCCATATTCAAGTGTTTGGCAGTGCAGCGTGTTTCTGAGCGTGCAGCTGTAAGGCTCTATTGACCGCTTGCCAGCGCTGCTCCCAAGACTAGCTTTATCATTCCCAGCGCTCCTCTGTAGGTGCTGTGAAATAGACCTTGTTTCCTTCAGGAAATACTTCCTGCCAAATCCAATCACTGGAGTTCTGTTGTATTATATGTTCAGCTGACTGTGTAACAGATGAGAGTTGCTGCGATGTAGGTTTGTAGATACGCATTGGTCACTTAAATGGCTCTGTTTGTGGTTAAGGTTTATTTAATGGCATTAGTGTTGTAATAGAATGCTGTGTTAAATAATGGTTGGCTCTGAACCAGTGGTGTAGTCTAAGTGATACGCAGGTATACGCCGTATACCCACTAGAGAGTGTCAAGGATTTCCGTATGCCCACTAGGAAACGTCAAAGATCTCTATATGCCCACTTTAAAAATCGTGAGGATTCGTAATTACATCGTTTTGTGAAAGAACTTTCATACGGCTTCAGCCCCCCTAAACTTCTGCCTAAAAATTTGTGATTAATGTAGGCTACAGAATTTCGTGTTCGCTTCAGTCCTCCTGTTTAATAATCAGATTCAGAGCACGCAGAGAGCACGTCAAAACCAGAGGACCGTGTGTGTCTGATTCTTTTTTTGCAAATCAAAAACATACAACACAACCAGTCTGATTTTTGGACAAATCAGTTGGATCTCTTAATGTATAGTTCAAATGTTGGGTTACCAGTTTGAATCAGTCTGACTTTTACTGAACTGAATCCATCGGAGCGGCTACTGAATCAACATCTTAACTGAACTGAAACAAATCATTAGTTTCAGTGATGTCCGTATAGACATTGTCCATTGAAATTATGTTTTCATGATTTGTTTTTTTGTTTGTTTGTTTTTTATTGTGCATGTTGTGCAATATTGACATATTTTTAGCATCTTCATCAGTTCAGGACATTCCAGTGTAGAAATGCAGCACAGCATCAGCCAAAACCATTTTCTTTTTTTTATCTGTTCATTCTAGACCGTATTTCACTTTCTAGTGCCTTTTACTACCTAAACTTTCACTTTTGTCATTCAAGGAAGAATGAGACATTTCAAATTAAGTCTATCCTTTTTTTCCTGTGTTACTGTAATCTTTGTATCTTTTTCTTCCCATGAACAGTTGCTACAGAAGATGGCTTTGGTTATAGCAGCCTGCATAAATGTCCGTATGGAGGTATTGTAGATATTGCCAAACTACTGTTAACCCCTGCAGCTTATTACGCCAATGAAGTTCCAGCACTCCAGACGTGCTGTGAAATCACAGGGCCTCCTGATATTAACACTCAGATCTGTCCCTCTTCAACAATATAATCACAGCTGTAATGCCAAGCCCAGTTTCACCGCTGTTATTGTCCTGCTCTCAATGACACTGTCTCATGTGTCTGTTACTGTAGATGTTGTCTTTCTTAGATCCTTGAGTTTGCTAGTCTCACTCTGAAGTTATACAATAATGAATAGAGATTTATAAGTTGTTGAAAAGAAGAAAAAAAAAACAATCTATTGCAGGTGACAATAAAGCCTCTCCGTGTGAAACTGCCAAATCGGAAGGGATGGTCCACCCCATTCCTGTAGGCATGGGATCTTCCTGTGGAAGAATTGGTTATGTCGGCCATATTCCATGTCACTGATTTGAAATATTAACACACTAATTCCTCCCAACAGAACTGCTGACTTTGGAAATATACTATTTTTTTTTTCCATCATGGTCGTGCCAAAACCGTATGCTTTTATTTAATATTCAAATTTTACTCTCTTTTTTATTAGTTTCTGTTTTTTTAATTATTTCTACATAGCTTTAATTTTTTTTTTTCATTTTTCAATTAAATTTCAGTTTTAGCATCTATTGTAGCATAAATGTGGAGTGAGTGGACAAAAATAGATTTTTTCTAGTTTATGAATACCTTTTCAATGTTTTTCTTCTGTCAGTGTAAACTTTATATCTAGCAATATTATGCTTTTCTTGTCACAAGCACACAGTGTCCTAACCGATTGCAATGGGATAGTAATTTGTCTGTCACTAAAAGCAAACACTGCACAATGTGTTGAGGCTGATTAGGACACAGTGGTGTGGTTCCGGATTCATTTTAACTGTATTGCATTTGCATAATTGTTTTTTTTTATTATTATTCATCAAAACATCCTAGAATTAAGTATTTTTCATCCTCTGTTGCACTGCAGCAGTGCAAATGGATTTGGAGATATCGTATCATGCAATACAAGACTAATTAGACCATAGCATCAGGTTTCATTTGAAGGATTCTGACCCCTTTTAAAATCTCAGCAGCTAGAAAGTTGAATGTGCAGTCACACAGATAATGTAAAAGCTAGTTACACAAGAGTCTGCAGCTCCTTAAAGTGCCCCTATTATGGATTTCGAAAATGACTTTTCATGTAGTGTGTAACATCTCTAAGTGAATGAAAACATCCTGCAAAGTTTTAAATCTGAAAGTGCACCGTATATAAAGTATTGGTTTTCAAAAGTAAAAGTCGACCCTGAGTTAATGAAATTAATCGTTTTTCAAACAAGTCATAAGCCGTTTCGTTGTGACGTCAAGACGAAACATTAGCACATTCCCCGTCCACTTAAAGCGTGCATACACCGGGGAAAAGCTGATTCCTGTGGATAATGGATATCATCATGTCGAGAAGAAGCTGTTCTCTACAATGTGAAGGTAAAGCCAGTTTAATTCACTGCCCAAGGACGAGCATGTGAAGAATCAGTGGTTAAAATTCATCTTTACCATGATACCACAGCAGTATAATCCTAAACTTTTGCTGTGTTCCCTTTATTTTACTGACGACTGCTTCTCAAATCTCAGAATTCAATGCAGGATTCTCGAACCCCTTGCTCTGGAAAGATGGCGTTCAAAATACTTAGTTTTGAGCTTTATAATTATGTGTTGTTCTCCTGCTTCTGGCTAACTCACATTATTACTTTCTTACTGAAATACTTCTGCTTATCAGTTGTGGGCCACTATTACCTAAGACTGTGTCTATTAATGCAGATTGTCTGTCGTTCTCACTACTTTGAGGAAACATTAAGCATGGAGCAAGATTTGATTTACCAATGTTTATGTTACATCAGTCATTCACATTCACGCTAGAGTTTGGCTACTATGCACTGTTATTGATTCAGTTTACACACGTTCACCATAATAAATTAGAAAAATTCTTGGTTAATAAATAAGTTCAAGTAAAAATTTGGTTTGTTGATGGACATGCACTTATTAAATCTGATGGTGAGGAATTACAGTTGCAACATTTCACAATGTACCTCAAACTGAGTTGTGTATCACTAAGAAACGTCCTGCTTGAGTCGTTCTTGCAATGGACGTTCAGGTTGAACAACTAGTTCTTGTAGAGTTTAATCAATTACCATTGATAAGGTTAAATCAACGTTATTGTTCGTTACTGTGCTTGGTTTATATGGTGTAGGAAGCTTCAGGACAAGCAGAGCTGACGTTATGGCAATGGACATTTTTGTTTTTGACACTTGCTGTATGTGGTAGACCAATCACAACAGACTGAGCTGTCTGGCCAATCAGATCAGAGCAGAGTAGCTCGCGGAAGGAGGGATTTAGAGAGATTGATTCATCTGACGAGTCGTTTGAGAATCATTGAAAATGTGGTGATGTGAAAATGTATATTATGAGAAAATGAAAGCGTTTTTACCTTTGATGCATGTAAACCTGTTGTAGGAGTCTCCAAAACAACATTAGGAAACTTTAAAATGGCTTAATAGGGGCACTTTAAAATGAGAGCCAGACTTAAAAAGGGTCATTCTGAATCATACAGTTACAGTTGGGCTTTTGCCGTAAACATCTTCAGTACTTGATGTAGACTTGACTTGATGCCTGAAAAAGCATGTAGTTAATATTACAAGTAGAACAGTGTGTTTATATTCTCTTGAAAAAAAATAACATATATAATTTAGACTGACTTTTAATATGTAAAAGGAATTTGCTAATATTGCATAGTTCATCTAAATACATCAATTACTTTTCTGAAATATTCTACGTAATGCAGCCTTGGTTTAAAATGAATCATCTTCTTCTAGCTGTCCTCTTGAATGGTGGACTTACTGTTTGTGTTTGACTCGCTGTATCCCCAGAGAGAGCTGCAGAAGCCATTAACTGGCAGACATTAGATCATAAAAACCACAACAGGCCTGAGCATTTTAACGATACTTGGAAAAGAGTCAAAAGCTTCAGTGCTATTGAGTGTCTACCCATTCTGATTGGCTGTCCGCCTCTCCGCTCTCGTGCAGGCATCCATGTGGTACAAAAGCTTAGTGAACCATAGATATTGGACAGGATATCAATCTCTTTTCCAATCTCTCCTTCAGGCTATGACTTCGCTGCGGTGTTGGAGTGGTTCGCCGAACGCGTGGATCGCATCATCCTGCTGTTCGACGCCCACAAGCTGGACATCTCGGACGAGTTCTCTGAGGTCATCAAGGCCCTCAAGAACCACGAGGACAAGATCCGTGTGGTGCTCAACAAGGCCGACCAGATCGAGACGCAGCAGTTGATGCGCGTCTACGGCGCCCTCATGTGGTCGCTGGGGAAGATCGTCAACACACCTGAGGTGATTCGTGTCTACATAGGCTCCTTTTGGTCGCATCCGTTGCTGATTTCAGACAATCGCAAGCTGTTTGAGGCGGAAGAGCAAGACCTGTTCAAGGATATCCAATCGCTGCCCCGCAACGCCGCCCTTCGCAAGCTCAACGATCTGATCAAGAGAGCTCGTCTGGCAAAGGTAAACTTTTATTACACATTAACACATGAAGTTTGTCATGTAATACAGCAAACAAATTACCCACCTGAGGTTTTTGCTAAGTATGACTCTGCATTTAAACATCGATAAAAGCCTTATAATATAACCATTATTATTTTCTGCAAATTACTTATTAAAGTCATTTACTGATCATCATCTCTCCAAACTCATAAGCTGTTATTTTTCCCTGGAGCTCAAAAGAATACATTTGGAGAATTTTTTTTTTTTTTCAGCTATTTTTCATATAATACTCTTGATGAGTTCTGAATCAAACTGAAACCAAAAGCTGGATATGGCTAACAAACTGCTTAATGTTTGGCAAGCAAATTTTGTCTGAACGGAAACAAGCTGAGTCTCAGCACTTATGCTTTTAAAATGCTGATGTTCAAAGGGAAAATATTTGGTGTGTGATTCAGAATAAAAGGTCTGTTACTTCACTCATTCAGTTAACATGTTGCTGTTCCAATTTGTTTTTGATGTGGTCCAGCATATATAGCTCTAGTGTAAAAGTAATAGCAATATACATGCATTTTGTGTGTTTACAGGCATTTTGTCTTTCTGAACTTGCAGACTTTACACAGTAATGAGGACATTTTCCAAACTGATGTGGCTCCTTGATGTTTGGCTGCATTTTTGATCAAGACTAAACCCAAGGGTCATAGAAGATACTGGTTGTGCAGGAAATCACAGCTAAACTAGATGAGAAATTACAAAGAAAGACCTTGACTTTGACTCAGGGGTCAGTGATTAGTTGGAGATTGTTAGATGTGCTGAAAGATACTGAGGGATCATGAGTCAAAATGCCATTCCCCATAAAGACATTATTATAAATGACCTTGAGTGATTTAACAGTCTTCCTTGCTTTAATTACAAATTCTAAAATAGCACATTCATTTAAAGGAAGTTCACTCACACACACACACACACACACACACACACACATATATATATATATATATATATATATATCAAACATTTAATGGACTGAAATTACTGGAAAATTAAATTAAACTAGATGTTGATGTCGCAAAAATTGTGCCTGCTAAATGGTACCATGGTAAAGCAATGACTGTCACAGAAATATTTTTGAGTGTTTATGCTTTTGAATCATAATATGAAATATATGGGTAGGTTTAAGGGTGAATTAAGGTGCAAGATAAATGCAGTAGTGTAATTATATGTATTTACAGAAATTAATTACATATGTAAATGCATGCAGTTATGTTAATACACAGTAGTTAAAGACAACTAATATAAAGAGGGACAGGCATTTCTTTTTAAAACATACCTTTTTAATAATTACAGTGTTTATGTATTCATTTGACAGCCCTGGAATTTTTATTATCTTTTGTTGGCTGATGTAATGGCCAGATTCCACATTAAAACCATGTTTTTCAACAGCAATATGCCTCCTAGATAAAACTGTAGCTCAGGTAGTCAAACATAAAGCTGTCATTTAAAAGGAAACTGAAACTCTTTTATGTCTGTTCATTTACGTCTGAAATCCTTTATTATCCCCATCAGTACAAATGTTGATCAAAACACAAGGGCCAGGCCAAAGAGACCCGTTCTGGAAGAGGAAATGTTAGGGACTGTCAGTACTTGTCACTTATCATCAAGCTCCATTTAGATCTCCAGGTCTAGTCGGATGCATTAAAAAAACAACATTTATGTTTTCTCTCTGTCCCTCACCCTGATCATACAGATGTGCTTCCCCTCCTGTCATCATTTATACAGTCACCTTCCTTCCACGTTGGGGCCAGGCCCCTCTCTGTCGCACATGACGATTTATTTAGTAGCTTTTGTATTCTTTCTAATATTCAGCTTTATAAGTAATGTTTTAACACATGTTTGGGCTGAATACAATGGGTAAAAACTACATCTTTTTTATCTATAAAGGATATACAATCCAATGAAGCCTGTTAAGAACATTTTAGTCATATTTCAGACTAAAATCAAGAAGAAAATTTAAGGCTGTTTTAATATTTGGAATGGATCAACCATTCACAGTCATTTTAAATCCAAGTTTGATTCAGCTGTATTTAAGGGCTGTTACTATAATTGATAAAGATTAAAATTGTATTAAATAATAAGTAATGTTTTAATATTAAGAATTCTCCATGATAATTCCACATTCCCCCCTCCACATAAAAAAATCATTCATATTGTGAAAATGTCACAATAAAAAAGCGTAACAGTCCTAAAAGTATTCATTTATTTATGAATTAATGATTTTCTTTGATTATACAGTATTGCGTTTCAGTCATTTATTTAATGCATTTTATTTTATTTATTTTAGACATGCTCTTTCTAACTGTAGTCTACTGATGCTTGCTTTATAAACTTACAAGGAGCTTTGTTTTTGTGCTCTCACAGGTCCATGCATACATCATTAGCTCCTTAAAGAAAGACATGCCCTCAGTCTTTGGGAAAGACAACAAAAAGAAGGAGCTGATTAACAGCTTGGGCGAGATCTACAGCCGCATTGAGAGAGAACACCAGATTTCCCCGGGAGACTTCCCTAATCTTAAGAAAATGCAGGTAAGGTCAATCGAAACAATAGAGACTGATTCAAGAATGCTTCACTGGGACTTTTAAAAGGTCTTTCTTTCTCTAGAATCATTAAAAAGCAGCATTCATTTTTCCACATTCATATTTGGGTGGACCTCTCCAAACCTGATTATATGTCTGTCTTATAGTTAAAAATGACCACTTGAGTAAGAATGCAGTTTATATAATTGATGCTTTTATAAAACAGCTCTACAAACAAGTGAATATTGAGTCATTTGCGTTTCAGACAAAATTTGGCCAGTTAGTTTGTATGTTTCTTCTCCGCCAACACAAAACTATTTCCAAAAGAAGCCAAAGCATCAAGGTATTCATATTGTCAAGCAGCAACAGCCTGTCTGGAACCGAGTATGTGAGGGGCGGGGAGCTGGTTTACCCTAGAAGTATCAACAGATGTTGACAGGATCTTTTGTTACATTCTTTCCCGCTGAATAGGATCAGCTTCAGGCACATGATCTGAACAAGTTCCAGCCTCTGAAAATGAAGCTATTGGACTCCGTGGATGACATGCTGGCTCACGACATTGCCCAGCTTATGGTTCTGGTACGCCAGGAGGAGACGCAGCGCCCCAATCAGATGGTGAAGGGCGGCGCCTTCGAGGGCACTATGAACGGGCCGTTCGGACACGGGTATGGCGAGGGAGCCGGCGAGGGCATTGATGAAGTCGAGTGGGTGGTGGCGCGTGACAAACCCATGTATGATGAAATCTTCTACACTCTCTCACCTGTCAATGGCAAAGTGACTGGGGCCAATGCCAAGAGGGAGATGGTGAAGTCCAAGCTGCCAAACACTGTGCTGGGTAAGATCTGGAAGCTGGCTGACATTGATAAAGATGGAATGCTTGATGACGAGGAGTTTGCCTTGGCCAACCACCTGATCAAGGTCAAACTAGAAGGTCACGAGCTTCCAAGCGAACTGCCTGCTCATCTTGTGCCGCCCTCCAAGAGAAAAGTTACAGAGTAAGATTGAAGCGGCTTGGAAACTGGATGGATTTTGGAAAAGAGAATAGTGTACATTTAGGTTGCAGTTGAATTATTGATGGCTGGACAACCATTATATAGAAAAAAAAAAAAAAACAGTGACTTCTTTGACATGTAGTTTATGCTTCAATTGCAAGAATGGATTTGAAAATGATCCACCTTTTCAACTATTTTGACCTGTGTATGTTTTTTTTAGTTTAGTTTACTTTTTTATAAACAAGTCGTACTGTCTGCAGTGTTTAAAATTGTTTTATGTGTGCTTTCAGATTTTAGTCATATTTTTATGTCATAGTTTCAATTTCATCTTTTCAGCTATCATGACTCTAACACTGTGTCCTAACCAGACGTGTCGCGATAAAAGATATTATATGTAAAACAGCACATTTTGTCGATTGCTTGGTTGCATTTCTGCGACTTTGCGCTTGCTAGCTTTGCCCTCAGTGAAATCTCACTGGACCTACTTCACATAACTACATTAAATATCAGTGTCTTCGGATTGGTTGTCATTGTGTCATGTTGCATAGCTGTTTCGCGTGCCGAAGAATTACTCGTCGCTTTGCGTCTGGTAAGGATGTGCTAAGATGCTTTATCTATATATTTCACATTCATGTTTAATTTACACTACTGTCCAAAAGTTTGGGGGCAACAATATGCTTTTAAAAAGTAGCTTATGCTCACCAAAAAGTAAAAAAAAATAGGGATGCACCGATATGACAATTTTGGCCGATGCTGATAACCGATATTTTGGCCGATAAATCTAAATCCAAATTTTTAGGCAATTTTTGATTTTCCTCTTTAAAAGCCAAGATGCAAACACAATTATGATGTTCTTATTTTAATGTTGTGTAGCCGATATGACAGACTTGCGCTGCACATTTTGCACTTTAACTGGATTTTCCTTTTTTAAAGTGATTTCAATCGTATTTCAAGCAATTTAAAAGCATCATGTTGAACAGTGCACATCTAAAGTGCCTCAGCTGAAGGAAATAATACATTATTTATCGGCTTTTAGATGTCGGCTAAATGTTCTTGTTGGGCCGAAAATGATAATATTAAAAATGATCATATATCGGCCGATACCGATAATGTGGCCGATATATCGTGAATCCGTTTAAAAAAAAAACATAATATTGTGAAATATTTTTACAGTTTAAAATAACTGTTTTCTATTTGAGCATATTTTAAAATGTAATTTTTTCCTCTGGTGTCAACACTGAATTTTTCAGCATCATTACCCCAGTCTTCAGTGTCACATGATCCTTGATGCTCAAGAAACATTTCTTATTATTCTTAATGTTGAGTTGCTAAATTGTTTGGGGAAAGCGAGATCCATATTTCAGGATTCTTTCAAAAAATAGAAAGTTCAGAAGAACAGGATTTATTCGAAGTTGAAACCTTTTTTGACATTATTAATGTCTTTTAATGCATCATTGCTGAATAAAAATATTTTCTTTACAAAAAAAAAAAAAATCGAACTGACCCCAAACTTTTGAACGTAGTGTATATCAGACTAGTCTGTGTCTCAGGTGGGGTGTGAGACATGAATTACTGCAGAAAAACATGAATTGTATTCTGAATCTTAGTATCAGTTGTTTTACATGCACAACTGGTATAATCAAACAAGTAAAGCAAAATTCATTTTATACCTAGGTGTAATTGTATTTTCTTCTTGTTAAGGCGGCATCTTAATGAATGCGAGTCCTTTCTAGCCTGACCAAGAGACTGTTAAAACTGTATAGCCGTCATGTCAGAAGACTCAATGTTTAGTGTTTTGATGGACCCGTAGAGCTAGTATCCTTTTCGATAGTATACTGTATGTGTTAATGCTTAACATATCTAAACTAAATTGGGTTATATTCGTTTTTATGTAATTCCGGTCTGATTTCCAAAGAATAGTAAAAAATAGATCGACTCTGCGAAACAGCTGTTACACTTTATTCAAATGATATGAAATAGAGTTTCTATATTCAAATGCTCATCGAAAGAGTAGCGGCTTTGGATCTAATACTGCATGTATCAAGTCCTTTTACTTTATTATATCAGCATTTAATGAACTCTTTACCTCTCTAGCCACCCCTTGAAAAGCAGTTATCTAAAGCTGTCACATTCTCTCCTGCAGGTATTTAGGATCTGAAGGTAAATTGATAGGGTTTTATGCACTGAACTAAACGGTCTTTAAAGTTATAAATCACCCAGAAAATTACAATTCTGTCTTTATTTACTCAACATAATGTATTTCCAAACCTGTATGATTTATATACTGTGGTTGACAACAAAAGAAGATAAAAAAGCCCCATAAAGTTTCTTAAAATAGTTTGATACAGCTTATACACTATATTCCATGTTTTCTGAAGCATGTGTTTATTTACTGAAAATTACGTACAGATTTTAATTTGGCATGTCATGATTGGTTATGAGGCACACTGACCTGTTTGGGATCACTGACTTTAAAGGGATAGTCCTCCAAAAAACTAAAATTTTGTCATCATTTACTCACCCTCATGTTGTTCATGTTCTCATGTTACCCTCAACATAGAAGAAGATATTTAGAAAAATGTTGACTTCCATTTTATATGGACAAAATTACAATGCAAGTCAATGGGAACCAAAAATGTTTGGTTATCAATTCTTCAAAATATCATATTTTGGGTTCAGCAGAAGAAAAACATACAGGTTTGGAACAACATGAGATAAAAAAAATATACACATTGTGATGGACATGACTAAATAATGACAGGATATTTACTGTGTGTACTGTTCCTTTAAATCTGATCTGCTTTGATTTGACTGCCCAGTTGTTTATGCGAAATATCTCCACTGATTCCAACAAAACCTCTAAGCCTGTTTAGTTCGATGAATTAAACCTAACATCTGCCTCGGTGCCTTGAGACACACCCGCCTCAATCAGATTCGTGACATTAGAAATGTATAAAGCACATTGTCGTATTCTACAATACCATTACATGCTAATAAATTGAACTGACGTTTCTTCAAAGACTTTCATTAATGCTCCATGTGAGTCTCAACTGAAAAAATTCCAGAAGTTTTGCACATCAGATTTTTTTGGCCCATAAAGTAGTGTTGTGTATTTGTGTGTTTGACCAAGTATGTACATGTATATGGGTGCAATATGGTTTGCAAATGTATTATGAAGTAGTTTGTGTACGTGTGCTTGTGTGAAGCACAGATGCTCTGTTGCTCATTGTGTTTTAACCAGTGCGGACAAACTATGTGAGACACTACTGTTCAGGGGAGGTGGACATTTATTCAACCAAATAAAGATCAAACTCATTTAAAGGTCTTTTTGAGTCTTGTTACATGTCGACCAAACTATATTTATACTAATTTTGTTTTAGAGGGCTCCTACAGTTGGTTTAAATGCATCCAAAAAAAAAAAAACATTTACATTTTCTTATACTTTTCACCGCCTCATTTCTCAAACTGTCTGAAAACTAAAGATTCAGGGCCCTCTGTTAATGATCTAAGCGCATGTGCACATGGGCATGTCCTAATCCACTTTTAGTTTAACAATGGGAAAAATGGTCTCCGTGCCATGCCGGTGGTCTAGAAGGGTTGTCTCTATTCTCTTCATGAGTAATGCGTGTGTTTTGGGCATTACGTGCAATAAACCAATCAGAGAAACCCATCTCCCATTCCCTTTACATGCCAGTTGCATCACGCCATGGCGGAATTTGATAGTGGAAAGACTGAACGATAGTAAAGACTAATACTCTACTCTGATTGGTCAGACGGCCCATTCTTTTGTGATTGGTCTACCGCTTACAGCGCATGTCAGAAATTAAAGGACAACTCTGGCGCAAAATGAACCTTTGGTCTAATTACACATTCTTACCTAGTCAACCGTTATCTGAGATTTGTTTTCATGATTGCCGAATGTAAATAGTTTTATCTCTAAAAACAGTTTAGCCTATAACGCTAGTATAATGCTAGTATATAGGGCATAGAGTAATGACAAATAAAAATCGCATGTTATTACCACTAAGAAGGCTCAAAATAGCCCCACACCAACACGACAGCATAACAAGGGTCCCTACATTCAAACCGAAGCATTGAGAACTTTGTCAGTGTCCAAACAGTTTAATAAGAAGATATTTTATACACACAGTCAACTTCGCGAATACAGGAAGAAGCCATCTTTGAAAAATAGTCTCTACCAGTCGATCTACGAGTGCCGATCCAAGTGCGCTGAACTGTGCAGAATCTCATATGGTCCGTTGTTTCCAGAAGAAACACAAACACAAACCGTTTACTTGTCTTCAATATGTACACGTAGCCTACTATTCGCGCTCACCTTATCACCTTATTCACATCTCACCAGCGCAGTTGGATCGGCGTTCGTAGTTCGACTGGTAGAGACTATTTTTCAAAAATGGCTTCTTCCTGTATTCGCGAAATTTACTGTGTGTATAAAATATCTTCTTATTAAACTGTATGGACACTGACAAAGTTCTCAATGCTTCGGTTTGAATGTAGGGACCCTTGTTATGCTGTCGTGTTGGTGTGGGGCTATTTTGAACCTTTTTAGTGGTAATAACAAGCGATTTTCATCTGTCATTACTCTATGCCCTATATACTAGCATTATACTAGCGTTATAGGCTAAACTGTTTTTAGAGATAAAACTATTTACATTCGGCAATCATGAAAACTAATCTCAGATAACGGTTGACTAGGTAACAATGTGTAATTAGACTAAAGGTTCATTTTGCGCCGGAGTTGTCTTTTAAATGCCTGTTACCACTGAATTTCAGCTCCGGAGACTTCCTCAGCGATGAAAACAGCATGTTGTTAAATTGTTACGTTGGTGTGTAACAGGAAGGTTGTGACGTTAATTCACAAAACAAAAATACACTAAATACATGCAGTAATAATATTCCTTCAGTTTTCCCAAAACATGTCAAGTCTGTCTTTGTTTAGAAATGGGATAGACAGGTTTTATGGATGTCCAAAAAAACATTGGTTATCATGCTAATCACAGGAACTCCCGGTGGAGACAGTACATAATGTTTTCTGCAGATCCTCGTCCTGCATTAACAGGGCCGTCTGCGCGAGTGATGGCTTCCTGTTTGTTGCATCATGTATTGTATGTCCTAGGAAACGAAAGCACAGGGTGGATTCTCATCTGGACATGTTCTTGACAGCAGGATATGATAAGCAGGGAACACCTGACCCTTCCTCACTACCCGTCACGAATATTCTCTCCAAGTGATGTGGGGGAAGTATGTATAAAATAATAAAAAATTTGCATTTAAAAAATAAAATGATATATATATACAAACCACAATACCGAAAATTATATCCACTTCAAAAATGTTGGGGTTGGTAATGTTTTTGAAAGAAGTCTCTCATCCAAGGCTAAAACTGCAAAAACAGTCAAATTATGAAATATTACTACAATTTAAACTGTTTTCTATCTTAATGTACTTTAAAATATAATTTATTCCTGTGATGGCAAAGCTGAATTTTAAGCAGTCTTCAGTGTTACATGATCCTTCAGAAATCATTCTAATATGCTGATTTGGTGTCAAGAAACATTTCTTTTTAAGTCAAACAGTTGTGCTTTGTAATATTTTTGTGGAAACAGATACATTTTTTTTTAATTCTTTGATTTATAGAGTACAATGGAACATCATTTGAAATAGAAACATTTTTTAAGAAATTAATTCTTTTTTCTTTTTCAATTTGATGTGTAAAAAATAAATTTCTTTCAAAATCTTAGGCACCCCAAAGATATCTATCCAGGATAGATCTCACCACAAGAGCTGATCAATAACATCTGTGACCAGGAAACCTACCGGTATGCGAATATAGATTTATGTTCTCATAAACATACTGCAGATTCATCAGGCATGTTTGCCAGGTAAAATCTAAAGGGTGTCGGAACAGTGTGTTGTGGATTGATGAGACAGAATTAGAGCTGACTAGCAGCAAAACCTGACATGTTTGGCAAAAACCAACGTTCAACGTTCGGTTAAAAGCACCGCAGGCCATCTGTAATGTTTGGTGATGGAAGCTTTATGGTTTTGGGCTGCAGTTGTGCCTCAGGGTCTGGCCAGCTCGCCATAACAGAGTCGACCATGAATTCCACACTGAACCAGAGAGTAGTACTTGAGGGGAATGTGAGACCATCTGTCTAAAAGCTGGGGCTGAACCACAAGCGGACATTGCAAAAACAAGACAATGACCAAAACACTCGAGAAAAGCCACAAATGAATAGCTCAAAAAGACTTAACAGTTATGAAATTATCAGGTCAAGGTTTACTTCTTTCCACAGCAGAAGTTTTTACAGTAAGACTTTTGTTAAATAAATCTACAAAAATAATCTTTTTGCCCTATACTCATGGTAAACAACTTAAAACAGGAATGTAAAGTCAAATCAGCAGGAAGTATGTTACACCGCTGATATGTATGTTCTGTGACAAAAAAATAAAATAAAATACATCTGACTAAAATCTTAGTTTAAGAATAAAAAATAAAAAAAATTATTTCACAAACAAACAAATATATTTGATTACATCATTGATAATCTTATCATGTAAGAGAATACCACTGACTGAATCCTTTGTTTAAGAGTGCCTCAAAATAATAATAAAAATAAAATAAATGCCTAATTTCATTAACAAACAAATAAAAAAGAATAATGAAACCTTTGTTTTAGAGTCAATTAAAATTAACCAATAGAATTAAAAAAAAAGTTCTTATTTAAAAAAACAAATAAATAGATTTGATTGTGCCATCACTGCCACGGATATATGTCATGTGTTAAAAAGGAATAGGCCTAACTCGAAATCCATTGTTTAAACTTAAGGTTGGCCAGGCATACTTTTCTTGTTCAAAATTAACCAAATTTAAATAATGAGTCATACATCATCAATCCTTCTTCCAAAACGCGGTTTTGTCTAACCCTGATTCACTACTATGGTAAACTTATCACAAGTTTTAGATATGTTAGACCTGACGGTTTTCGCGGGGAAACTGCGTGTATGTCAGTCACCCGTGCGTCACATGACGTCACAACCAGCGCCATTGTTGAGGGCAAAACATTAGAAGAAGCAATACGAGTTTAACGAAGTGAAATGAGAGAATATGGTCATCCCCTGCTGGGTCAATGGATGATAAAATCGTGCCGGAGGTTCAGTTAAATCGGGATTTTACAGTATACCCGTCATTAGACTCCATGGATGTGAGAAGACTAAGCTTTTGTCAGAACAACGACGGAGATTATGACTGGTGAGGATAAACAGGTAAGAAACTCACTCAAAACGCGCAAGAATTTGTTTGACAAAAGCACAATGTTGTGTTTTATTGCGAGTGTAAACAAATATAAGTTAACACTTTGCAATTTGAGTAATGTCATGTAAAGAAAATGACGAGGTATTAAAAACATACAAAACACGCGAATCTCCAACCTTATACAACGAGACAGAGTCAAGACTGACTTGGCTTTTCGGAGATGACGAAAACTGAGTGATTTTAATGTAAAAGCTACGCAGAGATTGTGTTTTTATTTCTTAGCAGGTGAGGAATTTCATTATGTAGCTCTGTGCTGAAATTTATTTCTAGGAAGTAACGTTAGGCTACATTTATGCGTATAGCTACAGTGATATCTTCTGCTATAGTCATCTTGAGAACCTTTCAATCTGAACTGGTAATATCTCTTATTTTATGAGCAGTAGGAGGATAATTCAGCCACAGTCATTCAGAGCTGAAGCACAGCCAAAACAATGTTCTTCCGCACAATAGCCTACATGTAGTGTTGTGTTTTTTAACCGCTAGAGGGACAACTGTGTCTTTGAGAGTTACTCAAAAATAACAATAATAAATTTATTTCATAATAAATAAATGCATGTCCTTGACCTTAAGTCCTTGCCCGTGTTGAACCATGAGAGGAACAGGAAGATTTTCATGATTCGAAAGCTCTTAAACATCCAGCGCTCTAGATAAATCCCTCAGGAAGAGGAACACTCAATCACAGCCGGTTGTGGACACCACGTGAATCACAATACTAATGTATGCTATTTGTGCATGTGAACCTGAGTGGGATGTGTGAGGTTGTGACATTTAGATGCTTAAGATTTTACAAGTGATTACATAACATTCATTAAAAATAAAAACTTTCCAACACTGGGTAGGCTACATTAAAAATAGCTTTTAGAGTTAATATATAAACTGAAATTTCCATATTAAAAGGGATGGCAATTTGATACAATATTAAGCGTTCTCAGGGAGATGCATGACAGTGAAAATAGCTGCAGGAATTTAATCATTTTCATTTTTGACAG